ATTCTCTTTCTATCATCCCTATTCACTGCCCAACTCTCCGATGCATAGCACATAATTGCAAAGACTGTAGCCTGGATCAGGTGCACCTTAGTCTTCAGCCTGACGTCTTTGCACTTCAGTACTCTTGAGAGTGTTTGGTGGAGCTCCCTGATTAAAACAAGCTTGGAAGCAAGAGTGGCATCCACTTCCAAAATAGCTTGCCTCTGGAAACCCTATGAACTTGGAGAAACAATAAAAGTCATGTAAGTGTTCAGGTCTTTCATTCATAGGGTCGCTATGAGTCTTCTATGCCTTGATGGAATTTAACAACAACAACAACAACAAACAATAACATTTTTATCTAAGAAGGCACTATATGTAATTGATAATTTTCGCCACTTTCCACCATAGTATCTGCATAGTGACAATCACATGGAGGTGTTAATGAGTAGAATAATGGGATAGTTAATGAATTATAATTCTTTTCTTCCGTTCATACCTGTAAAGAAAAGAGAGAATACAATGATTACATATTTTTCACTGGAGAAAGATAGTGGCATATGCTTCTGCAAAGATTTATGCCTGGAAAACCCTGTGTGTCAGTTCCTCTTTTCTCTAGGGTCTCTGTGACTATGAATTAACTCCACATGATGAATTTTGGTTTTATACAAAAACCTCAAAGGTATATTGGCTCAGAATTGCTTTATAGCTGACACTCTATTGGGTTTCTGAGGATGTAAATGACATCGGAGAGTCCTTATCTTTCTCTGAGAAATGGATAGTTAGTAGTAAAAAATATATATGAGAGAATATAGTGGCCTTAGTTTCTGTGTGGAGGTTATAGAATTAAGTTTATGGTAAAAAGATTTGATGGCGTAATTATAATTTTACCAACTGATGTGAATTATAAATAATTTATGCTTCATTTCAGGTCGCTGAGGAAGGCTCCACCATTTCCTGTGTAGTGGAGCGAACGAGAGGAGCCCTGGATTCTGTGCATGTTTCTTACATTATCTCACAGATTGAATCAGATGGTGTTAATTACCTCGTTGATGATTTTGCTAATGCTAGTGGAACTATCACTTTCCTTCCTTGGCAGAGATCCGAGGTAAATCTATCTGCTCTGTTTCTCTGAAAGCTCCCTAAAAAGGTGTTTGGTTTTTTAGGGGGTTTTTTTTTTGCTGTTGTTTTCCCCCTTTTTTACTTTATTTGCAACTTCTTACTCATTGATTGCTTTCAAGTTTTTAAGTGATTAAGTGCAGATTGTGGTAGAAGTGATTTTCTTATTTGTTTATTTATATATTTTGATTTTATTTTATACTGATTTACTTACAAAGTTCATAGACATTGTTTTCCACACCAGATCTTTCCTCTTTCTTTTATTTTCCCTTCCCTCCACCCATTAAATTGTGTGACCCTATGTTCAAATCCCGTCCCCTGTTATCTGTTCCCCACCTCCCTGCCTTGAATCCTCGTTCTTATTCTGCAATAATTGTCTTGTGCAGTATTTGTCTTTATGAGACTGGGTTAGTTCTCTTAGCTTAAAGCTTTCCAGTTGCTCCCAAGTTACATAGTAATTTATAAAATCATTGCTCCTGAGTGCTGTTTTCCATTGTGTGAATGTACCATAATTTCTCAGTCCATTCCACTGTGGTTTGACATTTGGACTGTTTCTATATTCTTGCGATCATGAATAACACTGCTATGAACATTGGTGTACAAGTCTTTGTTTTTGCCTCAATTCTCATTTGCTCAGGGTATATTACAGGCAGTGGAATAGCTGGATCATATTTTTGCTAAGAAAAACTAAGGGTTTTGAATAATAATAATTTAAAAAGGGTTTTGTAATAATTTTAGCTTTATTCTTTAATCTGCATATAACAAAAAGGATATAGTTTGAAGTATGTGATTGTGGATTATTTATTATAGCTGATAATATGATGTTAGTTATCTCATATTACTATAATAGAAATACCACTAATAAGTCACTTTAACAAATAAATTTATTTTTTCCCAGTTTGTTGTTGTTACTGTTAGGTGCCTTTGAGTTTAGTACGACCATAGTGACCCTACGCTTGGAACCCTGTGCTATCCTGTTCAGTCTTCACACTTACTGACACACTAGAGCACATTGTAGCACTCACTGTGTCAGTTCACCTGGCTGAGGGTCTTCCTTTTCTTGGTCGACTTTCTTGCATTCCAAACAGCATGTCCTTCTCCAAGGAATAACTGCTCCTAGCAACATGCTCCAAGTACGTGAGGTAAAGTTTTACCATTTTTACCTCTAAGGAGCACTCTGGCTACAATTTCTCCAAGACATATTTGTTCTTTTGGCAGTCCATTGGATGTTCAGTACTCTTCTCCAACACTATAGCTCAAAACCATCAATTTTTCTCC